GATATTTCATGACGCCATATTTGTCTAGGGTGATGTGTTCTGAGGCATTGTCATAATTCTTTGATAGTCTTGCCTTCCTTGGCATGGCACTTCATACACAACACTGGTTCTACCTCAAACACATTCATATCCAAAATTTATAATTCACATTAGCGATAATAGTGACATGGATAGCAAATGCTCTCAGAAGCGAAAATTATTTATACTATTCTAACAGTTACATTAAACACAATTAACTAAACCCTCATAGAAGGGTGAGAGCTATCTAAACAGCCATCAGTTGATCTCAAAAAGCCTCATGAGGCGAAAATAACTGGCACTATTATCAATAGTAGGCTCCCATTGAGGAGTGACAACCAGTCAAAGGCCCCCAGACCCACAAAGTGAAAAAAGCGAAAAAAACTGGTACTATTATCAATAGTAGACTCCCATAGAGGAGTGGCAACCAGGAAAAGTCCCCCAGACCCACAAAGTGAAAGAAAATGCGAAAATAGCTGGCACCATTATCAATGGTGGACTCCCATAGAGGAGTGACAACCAGCAAAAGAGGCCCCCAGACCAACAAAGTGAAAAAAAAGCGAAAATAGCTGGCACCATTATCAATGGTGGACTCCCATAGAGGAGTGGCAACCAGCAAAAGAGGCCCCCAGACCCACAAAGTGAAAAAAAGCGAAAAAAGCTGGCACCATTATCAATGGTGGACTCCCATAGAGGAGTGACAACCAGCAAAAGAGGCCCCCAGACCAACAAAGTGAAAAAAAGCGAAAATAGCTGGCACCATTATCAATGGTGGACTCCCATAGAGGAGTGGCAACCAGCAAAAGAGGCCCCCAGACCCACAAAGTGAAAAAAAGCGAAAAAAGCTGGCACCATTATCAATGGTGGACTCCCATAGAGGAGTGACAACCAGCAAAAGAGGCCCCCAGACCCACAAAGTGAAAAAAGCGAAAAAAGCTGGCACCATTATCAATGGTGGACTCCCATAGAGGAGTGACAACCAGCAAAAGAGGCCCCCAGACCCACAAATTCAAAAAAAGAGTTTGGGGTGAGTGAAGAAGAGGGAAGAAAGAAGGAATGAAAATTTTTGGTTCAAGTTCACCGCATTTTTGCTTATATAAGCATTTCTAAATACAGCCCATCACTCAGAAATTCACATATATTCCAGAGTGATGCCGCTGTCTCCCCCTACCTACTGTGCCCAGAGGCATGATTCCATGTCAATACTGATGTTCCTGAACTCATGGACCAGTAGAAACAACGGTTTGATATGTCAAAGTCATGTTGTTGCAAAGTTGCTCACCTATGTGACCGCTTTTGCTTATGTAAGCAGTGTCACCCCTGTGATGCTGCCTCACCCAATGATTGATTTTTTGAGCTTTCATATGACTTGCTTGGCTTCAAATAGAACTTGTTTCTGGGGTTATTTGGCCATCTGAATCTGATGGGAACACTGGTTTGGTCCGAAAAAATCATATTTCAGAGTGATGCTACCCCCTCCCCCTCCCCCTACCTACTGTGCCCAGAGGCAGGATTCCATGTCGATACTGATGTATAAAAGGATGTTTCTGGTGTTTTTGGATCATATTAATTGATTGGAGATGGTCTCAGAGTCATCTGGGCTCATGTGAATTGTGATGTGTCAGTTGACCTGATACCCCCCCACAAAGATCGATTTTTTCAGGCTTCCCATGACTTGCCAGTACTCCAAAACTATTCTTCCTGGGGGTTCTTCATCCATCTGAACACGATGGTCGAGCCAGATTTCCCAGAAAAAATCATGTTCTTGAGATATGCAGGGCCCCCCTCCCCCCTCCTAACTCATATATCTTGATATTATGTAAATACCGATATATCAAAAGATGTTTCTAGTGTTTTATGATCACAGAAATCGATTGGAGATGGTCCTGGAGTATTCCCGGCTTGTCTGAATTGAAATATGTCAGTTTGCCTCATGCCCCCCCCACAAAGATCGATTTTTACAGACATCCCATGACTTGCTGGTGCTCCAACAGCATTTCTCCCGAGGGCTATTGATCATTCTGAACACGATGGTCGAGCCAGATTTCCCAGAAAAAATCAGGTTCTGGAGATATGCAGGGCCCCCCTCCCCCCTCCTAACGCATATATCTGGATATCATGTAAATACCGATATATCAAAGGGTGATCCTAGTGTTTTATGATCACTGAAATCCATTGGAGATGGTTTCAGAGTATTTCTAGCCTGTGTGAAATAAAATAGGTCAGTTTGCCTCATACCCCCCACAAAGATCGATTTTTACAGCATTCCCATGACTTGCCAGTGGTCCAAAAGCATTTTTCCTGGGGGCTCTTGAGCCCTCTGAACACGATGGTCGAGCCAGAATTCCTAGAAAAAATCGCGTTCTTGAGATATACAAGGTCCTCCTCCCCCCTCCTACCCCCTATATTTTGCTGTACTTGATTTTAACTCAAAACCGATACTGTAAAGGACTGTCCTAGGGTTTTTCAGGTGTAGGAATCGATTGGTGATGGTCCTGGACCATCTGGAGGTCGATATTGGTGACATATGGTGGTGGGGCCAAAAGGGCAGTATTTTGAGCATATCTCCATAACCCAACCGCCGATTTCTCTAATTCTTGGCTCATATCATTCCTAGACGTACCCTCCATGATATGTACCAGCCCACAAAAAGAAATAGTTTCACAAGTTTGAAACCTATTTCAGTTTTGACCATATAAGTATTGCTCTGAGTCGGCCCTTGTCTTGACTGGTCTTGGTTATCGTACGCGTGTCTTAGTGGTTGTCTGGGGGGTGATGCGTTGGGCGAGGACAGGATCTCATTTTGACTTGACTTCATTTTGCTTGATTTTGTGATTTTATTACTGTTTTATTGCTTGATTTTGTCTGTCTTGTTGCTGTTGTAGTCTTGCGTGTTGTATTGTGTTTGCTTGTCTTAGTGACTCTAACACTAACACCGAGACACCGAGAGAACACGTTTTGAGACGAGACAACGAGAAACCTAACTAACCCTCTAACGGGTGGGGGGGTGGGGTTGAACCCTAAACTCTAACGTGGTGGTTGAAACCTAACTAACCCTCTAACGGGTGGGGGGGTGGGGTTGAACCCTAAACTCTAACGTGGTGGTTGAACCTAACTGCGCATATTCCCTTGTTATGCTTATCGGATGTTTGTCTTGTATCGATTGTAGTATAGTGTGTCGTGTCTCGTAGTCTGTCGGATCGTTTTGTATTGTGTTGTATCGTGTCCGTAGTCTGTTGCGTCTCTTGTCCTTGTCTGACTGTGGTGCGTTATCGTAGTCTGATCCTTGACTTTTCTTGATTTGGGCCTGTCTTTGATTCATGGTCTTGCTTATCGTGCGCTTATCGTGGCGCTTGTCTGAAGTGATGCGTCGGACTAGGACGGAACCTTGCTTTGACTTGACTTGATTTTGCTTGATTTTGACGTTTTGTTGCTGGGGGCGTTGCTTGATTTTTGCTGTGATGTTGCTGCGGTGGTCTTGTCTTTGGAGTGATGCGTGGGCCTAGGACAGGATCTCGTTTCGACTTGACTGCATTTTGCTTGATTTTTGTGATTTTTTGATGTTTTAATTGCTTGACTTTCTTTGATTTCAGGCGTTTTATCACTGTCGTAGTCTTGTTTATCGTAGCGCTTGTCTGGGGTGATGCGTGGGCCGAGGACAGGATCTCGTTTCATCTCGCCTTGATTTTGCTTGATTTTTGCTTTTTTCTTGCTTTCGTATTGCTTGATCTCGGCTGTGTTGTCGTCGCTGCGGTGGTCTTGCTTATCCTGCGTTTATTGGAGCGCAGATGCTTCGATTGCTATTTGATGGTCTTGCTTATCGTAGCGCTGTCTGGGGTGACGCGTGGGCCGAGGACAGGATCTCGTTTTGACTTCACTTCACTTTGCTTGATTTTTGTCATTTTTGTGCCATTTTATCGCTGTGATGTGGCTTGATTTTGGCTGTTTTATTGCTGCGGTGGTGTTGCGTATGGTCTCAGCATCGTATTCTTGCGTATGGTATGAGATTGTGTTGCTATCGTAGTCCTGGGCTGAGGACAGGGTCTCGTTTTGTCTTGGGTTCATTTTGCTTCATTTTTGCTTTTTTCTTGCATTTGTGTCGCTTTATTTTGGCTGTGTTGTCCTGTAGCGGTCATGCTTATCATACGCGTATCTTAGCGCTTGTCTGCGGTGATGCGTCGGGCGAGGACAGGACCTCGTTTCAACTTGACTGCATTTTGCTTGATTTTGTGATTTTTGTGCGATTTTATTGCTGCAGTGGTCTTGTGTATGGTATGGGATGGTCTTGGTATCGTTGTCTCGCCTTGACTTTGCTTGATTTCGCCTTGTCTTGCGTATTGTATTGTAGTCTTGCCTTGACTTTGCTTCATTTTGCCTTGTCTTGCGTATCGTATCATATCGTAGTCTTGTGTATGGTATGGCATGGTCTTGGTATCGTAGTCTTGCCTTGACTTTGCTTGATTTTCCCTTGTCTTGCGTATCGCATCGCATTGCTTGTCTTGTGGTGACTCTAACCGAGACACCGAGACACCGAGAGAATACGTTTTTAGACGAGACAACCGAGAGAGCTAACCGGCGGGGGGGTGGGTTTTATTGCTATCGTAGTCTTTCTTGTTTTTTTCGTTGTTTCGTCTTTGCTTGATTTTTGCTTTATTGCTGCTGTGTTGTTGCTTGACTTTGTTTGATTGTGGTTTTGTCTTTGATTTCCTAGTCCTTTGTGTCGTATGCGTATCTTGGTGTTTGTCCGGGGGGGGGGGCGATGCGCGGGCCGAGGACAGGATCTCGTTTTGACTTGACTTCATTTTGCTTCATCTTTGTGATTTTTTGGGATTTTACTGCTTGACCTTGCTTGACTTTGGCTGTCTTATTTCTGTTGTGGTCTTGGCTTGTCTGGGGCGATGCGTTTGCTATTATGTCTGTTGCGGTGACTATCGTGATTCTTGTCATTTAGCGTACGCGTATGCTATTATGCGACTGTCGTGATTCTGGTCATTTTGTTGGCGTGCGTGTCTGCTATTATCTCTGTTGTTGCGACTATGGTGATCCTTGTCTTTTCTTCTCCTTCTTGATGAAATGGTGTTTGGCTTGAGCGTATGCTGTTATAGCTGTTGCGGTGACTATCGTGATTCTCGTCTTTGTGATGAGAAGTGGTATTAGCGTACGTGTATGCTATTATCTCTGTTGCTGCATCTGTCTGATTGATGTTTTCTTTGCGGTCTTGCTGTTGTATTGCTTTGAGTCGTCCCTTGTCTTGACTGGTCTTGGTTGTTGTACGCGTATCTTGGTTCTTGTCTGGGGGGTGATGCGTCGGGCGAGGACAGGATCTTGTTTTGACTTTGCTTGATTTTGCTTGATTTTGTCGTTTTATTGCCGTTTTATTGCTTGACTTTGCTTGATTTTGTCTGTCTTTGTCTGGGGGGTGTTGCGTCAGGCGAGGACAGGGTCTCGTTTTGACTTGGCTTGATTTTGCTTGATTTTGCTGTTTTATTGCTGTTTTATTGCTTGACTTTGCTTGTTTTTGTCTGTCTTGTTGCTGTTGTAGTCTTGCGTGTTGTATTGTGTTGTATTGTATTTGCTTGTCTGCTGTAGTATTGCTTTGAGTCGACCCTTGTCTTGACTGGTCTTGGTTATCGTACGCGTATCTTAGTGCTTGTCTGGGGGGTGATGCGTTGGGCGAGGACAGGATCTCATTTTGACTTGACTTCATTTTGCTTGATTTTGTCGTTTTATTACTGTTTTATTGCTTTATTTTGTCTGTCTTGTTGCTGTCGTGGTCTCACGTGTCGTATTGTGTTTGCTTGTCTTGTAGTGACTCTGACCGAGACACCGAGACACCGAGAGAATACGTTTTTAGACGAGACAACGAGAAACCTAACTAACCCTCTAACGGGCGGAGGGGGGTGGGGTCGAACCCTAAACTCTAACGTGGTGGTTGAACCTAACTGCGCATATTCCCTTGTTATGCTTATCGGATGTTTGTCTTGTATCGTAGTATAGCGTGTTTTGTTTCGTAGTTTGTCTTGTATCGTAGTATAGTGTGTCGTGTTTCATAGTCTGTCGGATCGTATTGTATTGTGTTGTATCGTGTCGTAGTCTGTTGCGTCTCTTGTCCTTGTCTTGACTGTGGTGCGTTATCGTAGTCTGATCCTTGACTTTTCTTGATTTGTGGCCTGTCTTTGATTTCATGGTCTTGCTTATCGTGCGCTTATCGTGGCGCTTGTCTGAAGTGATGCGTCGGACTAGGACGGAACCTTGCTTTGACTTGACTTGATTTTGCTTGATTTTTGACGTTTTGTTGCTGGGGCGTTGCTTGATTTTTGCTGTGATGTTGCTGCGGTGGTCTTGTCTTTGGAGTGATGCGTGGGCCTAGGACAGGATCTCGTTTCGACTTGACTGCATTTTGCTTGATTTTTGTGATTTTTTGATGTTTTATTGCTTGACTTTCTTTGATTTCAGGCGTTTTATCACTGTCGTAGTCTTGTTTATCGTAGCGCTTGTCTGGGGTGATGCGTGGGCCGAGGACAGGATCTCGTTTCATCTCGCCTTGATTTTGCTTGATTTTTGCTTTTTTCTTGCTTTCGTATTGCTTGATCTCGGCTGTGTTGTCGTCGCTGCGGTGGTCTTGCTTATCCTGCGTTTATTGGAGCGCAGATGCTTCGATTGCTATTTGATGGTCTTGCTTATCGTAGCGCTTGTCTGGGGTGACGCGTGGGCCGAGGACAGGATCTCGTTTTGACTTCACTTCACTTTGCTTGATTTTTGTCATTTTTGTGCCATTTTATCGCTGTGATGTGGCTTGATTTGGCTGTTTTATTGCTGCGGTGGTGTTGCGTATGGTCTCAGCATCGTAGTCTTGCGTTTGGTATGAGATTTTTTGTGTTGCTATCGTAGTCTGGGCTGAGGACAGGGTCTCTGTTTTGTCTTGGGTGTTCATTTTGCTTCATTTTTGCTTTTTTCTTGCATTTGTGTTGTCGCTTTATTTTGGCTCTGTGTGTCCTGTAGCGGTCATGCTTATTCATACGCGTATCTTATCGCTTGTCTGCGGTGATGCGTCGGGCGAGGACAGGACCTCTTTCAACTTGACTTCATTTGCTGATTTTTGTTGATTTTTGTGCGATTTATTGATGCAGTGGTCTTGGTAATTTGTCACCCTTTTGGGGTATGGGAATGGTCTAGGCTATAGTTGTCTCGCCTTTGACTTTGCTTGATTCGCCTTGTCTGCGTATTGTATTGTAGTTTGCCTTGACTTGCTTCATTTTGCCTTTGTCTTTGGTATCGATCAATCGTAGCTTGTGTGGTATGGCCATGGTCTTGGTACGTAGTCTGCCTTGACTTTGCTTGATTCCTTGTCTTGCGTATTCGCATCGTATTGCTTGTCTTGTATTGACTCTAACCGAGACACCGAGTCACCGAGAGAATACGTTTTTAGACGAGACAACCGAGAGAGCTAACCGGCGGGTTAGTGGTTTTATTGCTATCATAGTCTTTCTTGTTTTTTTCGTTGTTTCGTCTTTGCTTTATTTTTGCTTTATTGCTGCTGTGTTGTTGCTTGACTTTGCTTGATTTGTGGTTTTTTCTTTGATTTCCTAGTCTTTTGTGTCGTATGCGTATCTTGGTGTTTGTCTGGGGGGGGGGTGATGCGCGGGCCGAGGACAGGATCTCGTTTTCACTTGACTTCAATTTGCTTCATTTTTGTGATTTTTTGTGATTTTATTGCTTGACCTTGCTTGACTTTGGCTGTCTTATTTCTGTTGCGGTCTTGCTTGTCTGGGGCGACGCGTTTGCTATTATGTCTGTTGCGGTGACTATCGTGATTCTTGTCATTTAGCGTACGCGTATGCTATTATGCGACTGTTGTGATTCTGGTCTTTTCTATGAGAAATGGTGTTGGCGTGCATGTCTGCTATTATCTCTGTTGTTGCATCTGTCTTGATTGATGTTTTCTTGCGGTCTTGCTGTTGTATTGCTTTGAGTCAGCCCTTGTCTTGACTGGTCTTGGTTATCGTACGCGTATCTTAGTTCTTGTCGGGGGGGTGATGCGTCGGGCGAGGACAGGATCTGGTTTTGACTTGGCTTGATTTTGCTTGATTTTGTCATTTTATTGCCGTTTTATTGCTTGACTTTGCTTGATTTTGTCTGTCTTTGTCTGGGGGGTGTTGTGTTGGGCGAGGACAGGGTCTCATTTTGACTTGACTTCATTTTGCTTGATTTTGTTGTTTTATTGCTGTTTTATTGCTTGAATTTGCTTGATTTTGTCTGTCTTGTTGCTGTTGTAGTCTTGCGTGTTGTATTGTATTTGCTTGCCTGCTGTAGTATTGCTCTGAGTCGGCCCTTGTCTTGACTGGTCTTGGTTATCGTACGCGTGTCTTAGTGGTTGTCTGGGGGGTGATGCGTTTGGGCGAGGACAGGATCTCATTTTGACTTGACTTCATTTTGCTTGATTTTGTGATTTTATTACTGTTTTATTGCTTGATTTTGTCTGTCTTGTTGCTGTTGTAGTCTTGCGTGTTGTATTGTGTTTGCTTGTCTTGTAGTGACTCTAACACTAACACACCGAGACACCGAGAGAACACGTTTTGAGACGAGACAACGAGAAACCTAACTAACCCTCTAACGGGTGGGGGGGTGGGGTTGAACCCTAAACTCTAACGTGGTGGTTGAAACCTAACTAACCCTCTAACGGGTGGGGGGGTGGGGTTGAACCCTAAACTCTAACGTGGTGGTTGAACCTAACTGCGCATATTCCCTTGTTATGCTTATCGGATGTTTGTCTTGTATCGATTGTAGTATAGTGTGTCGTGTCTCGTAGTCTGTCGGATCGTTTTGTATTGTGTTGTATCGTGTCGTAGTCTGTTGCGTCTCTTGTCCTTGTCTTGACTGTGGTGCGTTATCGTAGTCTGATCCTTGACTTTTCTTGATTTGTGGCCTGTCTTTGATTTCATGGTCTTGCTTATCGTGCGCTTATCGTGGCGCTTGTCTGAAGTGATGCGTCGGACTAGGACGGAACCTTGCTTTGACTTGACTTGATTTTGGCTTGATTTTTGACGTTTTGTTGCTGGGGCGTTGCTTGATTTTTGCTGTGATGTTGCTGCGGTGGTCTTGTCTTTGGAGTGATGCGTGGGCCTAGGACAGGATCTCGTTTCGACTTGACTGCATTTTGCTTGATTTTTGTGATTTTTTGATGTTCTATTGCTTGACTTTCTTTGATTTCAGGCGTTTTATCACTGTCGTAGTCTTGTTCATCGTAGCGCTTGTCTGGGGTGACGCGTGGGCCGAGGACAGGATCTCGTTTCATCTCGCCTTGATTTTGCTTGATTTTTGCTTTTTTCTTGCTTTCGTATTGCTTGATCTCGGCTGTGTTGTTGTCGCTGCGGTGGTCTTGCTTATCGTGCGTTTATTGGAGGGCGGATGCTTCGATTGCTATTTGATGGTCTTGCTTATCGTAGCGCTTGTCTGGGGTGATGCGTGGGCCGAGGACAGGATCTCGTTTTGACTTGACTTGACTTTGCTTGATTTTTGTCATTTTTGTGCCATTTTATTGCTGTGATGTTGCCTGATTTTGGCTGTTTTATTGCTGTGGTGGTATTGCGTATGGTCTTGGTATCGTAGTCTTGCGTATGGTATGAGATCGTGTTGCTATCATAGTCTGGGCTGAGGACAGGGTCTCGTTTTGTCTTGGGTTCATTTTGCTTCGTTTTTGCTTTTTTCTTGCATTTGCGTCGCTTTATTTTGGCTGTGTTGTCCTGTAGTGGTCTTGCTTATCATACGCGTATCTTAGCGCTTGTCTGCGGTGATACGTCGGGCGAGGACAGGACCTTGTTTCGACTTGAGTTGGTTTTGCTTGATTTTTGTGATTTTTGTGTGATTTTATTGCTGCGGCGGTCTTGTGTATGGTATGGGATGGTCTTGGTATTGTAGTCTTACCTTGACTTTGCTTGATTTTTCCTTGTCTTGCGTATTGTATTGTAGTCTTGCCTTGACTTTGCTTGATTTTCCCTTGTCTTGAGTATTGCATCGTATTGCTTGTCTTGTATTGACTCTAACCGAGACACCGAGTCACCGAGAGAATACGTTTTTAGACGAGACAACCGAGAGAGCTAACCGGCGGGTTAGTGGTTTTATTGCTATCATAGTCTTTCTTGTTTTTTTTCGTTGTTTCGTCTTTGCTTTATTTTTGCTTTATTGCTGCTGTGTTGTTGCTTGACTTTGCTTGATTTGTGGTTTTTTCTTTGATTTCCTAGTCTTTGTGTCGTATGCGTATCTTGGTGTTTGTCTGGGGGGGTGATGCGCGGGCCGAGGACAGGATCTCGTTTTCACTTGACTTCAATTTGCTTCATTTTTGTGATTTTTTGTGATTTTATTGCTTGACCTTGCTTGACTTTGGCTGTCTTATTTCTGTTGCGGTCTTGCTTGTCTGGGGCGACGCGTTTGCTATTATGTCTGTTGCGGTGACTATCGTGATTCTTGTCATTTAGCGTACGCGTATGCTATTATGCGACTGTTGTGATTCTGGTCTTTTCTATGAGAAATGGTGTTGGCGTGCATGTCTGCTATTATCTCTGTTGTTGCATCTGTCTTGATTGATGTTTTCTTGCGGTCTTGCTGTTGTATTGCTTTGAGTCAGCCCTTGTCTTGACTGGTCTTGGTTATCGTACGCGTATCTTAGTTCTTGTCGGGGGGGTGATGCGTCGGGCGAGGACAGGATCTGGTTTTGACTTGGCTTGATTTTGCTTGATTTTGTCATTTTATTGCCGTTTTATTGCTTGACTTTGCTTGATTTTGTCTGTCTTTGTCTGGGGGGTGTTGTGTTGGGCGAGGACAGGGTCTCATTTTGACTTGACTTCATTTTGCTTGATTTTGTTGTTTTATTGCTGTTTTATTGCTTGAATTTGCTTGATTTTGTCTGTCTTGTTGCTGTTGTAGTCTTGCGTGTTGTATTGTATTTGCTTGCCTGCTGTAGTATTGCTCTGAGTCGGCCCTTGTCTTGACTGGTCTTGGTTATCGTACGCGTGTCTTAGTGGTTGTCTGGGGGGGTGATGCGTTGGGCGGAGGACAGGATCTCATTTTGACTTGACTTCATTTTGCTTGATTTTGTGATTTTATTACTGTTTTATTGCTTGATTTTGTCTGTCTTGTTGCTGTTGTAGTCTTGCGTGTTGTATTGTGTTTGCTTGTCTTGTAGTGACTCTAACACTAACACCGAGACACCGAGAGAACACGTTTTTGAGACGAGACAACGAGAAACCTAACTAACCCTCTAACGGGTGGGGGGGGTGGGGTTGAACCCTAAACTCTAACGTGGTGGTTGAAACCTAACTAACCCTCTAACGGGTGGGGGGGTGGGGTTGAACCCTAAACTCTAAACGTGGGTGGTTGAACCTAACTGCGCATATTCCCTTGTTATGCTTATCGGATGTTTGTCTTGTATCGATTGTAGTATAGTGTGTCGTGTCTCGTAGTCTGTCGGATCGTTTTGTATTGTGTTGTATCGTGTCGTAGTCTGTTGCGTCTCTTGTCCTTGTCTTGACTGTGGTGCGTTATCGTAGTCTGATCCTTGACTTTTCTTGATTTGTGGCCTGTCTTTGATTTCATGGTCTTGCTTATCGTGCGCTTATCGTGGCGCTTGTCTGAAGTGATGCGTCGGACTAGGACGGAACCTTGCTTTGACTTGACTTGATTTGGCTTGATTTTTGACGTTTTGTTGCTGGGGCGTTGCTTGATTTTTGCTGTGATGTTGCTGCGGTGGTCTTGTCTTTGGAGTGATGC